TCCTCTTCTCCAGGCTGAACCCCCTTTTCTGTTGTTCACTTTGAATTATACACATTACATCCTTTTATGACCTTTTTTACTAATAAGTGCTTTTTAGCTATAATAAGTATCTAATATATAAACCACCTGATTTAGATAATACATATTGTCTGTTAGTAAATCCAGGTTCAGGAGACGCAGGTTCACAACTGAAAATTAAAAGGCTAAGATATAATTCAAGGAGCTTGTGTATATAAAGTTACCTGCTAAATTTATACAGATCAAGTGCATTGGTACATGTTGACAGAACGGTCTCTTCTGGCCAGCTGAGCTGAGGAGTGTGTAGCTGGTGAATGAGCATGGTCTTGTTGCAAAGGAACATGCTGTGTTCACTCATGTTGGCTCTTTTGTGGTTTGACTGTTTTACAGCAAGTGCAGGGTGGGCTGGGAATATGTTTTGGGTGGATTAGGAGCTATAGGCCAAAGTATTCTGTTCTTTTCTCCCTTTTCCAGCTTTTTTCTTTCCTTAGTCTTGAAATTAAGCTGTAGTCTTGCTCTCAGGCTATATGAAGGTAGGCTGAAGCAAGGAAATATGATTTGGATCCTGTTAAATTGTTTATATAAAACTGGTGTATATCAGGAATGATTCTGTTAAGGATAAACTCAAGTTAGTGTCAAACAGTGGCAGTATCTCAAGAGTTCTCTGATACATGTTTAGTACAATTCTTCAGGATTCACTGGAGGCTAATGAGTACAATGTAGACATTTTACTATCAATGTATATTACAATATTGATCCTTTGAGAAAATTATGGAATTTTGAAGATGCTTTACTAAAGCTGATACTACTTGTTTCATTCACCACTAATTTATTGGAAAGAGCTATCTTCATTCTAGGGTAATCTCTGTGTAGCCTAATGTGATTGAGTCAGGGTGAGATGTAGGAAGTTTTGAGATGCTCAGGTACCGTTGTTGTATATATTGTGTGAGAGTCTTCATAGGTTAGGGAGGAAAAATTAGCTCTGTCTTGCAGAGGAGGTTTAGAGAAGTTGTTGTACAACAGGATTTCTGGTTTGTCAGTCTAGAAATGAGTGATAATGGTACCTCCTAATCTACCAAAGAGGTTTTAAGGCTCAATAATCTGTGGGATTTGGAACATGTAAAGTGTAGCCTAGCGCTGCTGGTATTAATTGTTCCAGGGTAGTTTTAGAGCAATGAAATCATCACCTTTATGCCATTTAGTGCTTCAGTGAAGGTTATGTAGACTTTTTATGGGAGCATCAGCTAGAGGTTGCCATCCATGAAGAACAGTGTTATTTTAAGGTACAAGATCCTTCCTGTGCGTGAGCTGTATTGGAGGAAGAGCTAACAGTTTTGCAATGACAGTAAGGGGGTGGGCAGAGTAAAAAGGCACCGAAGAATGTTGCTGTGTGAGTGCAGCATGGAGTAGCTGATGATTTTGTGTTTGCATTCCACGATGAATGTGCCATGGATTACCATCTGCACTAAAAGAGGGACCCTGAACAAGCAGTTTAATTTCCAGTCTCACACAGGTGAGCCCTCACGAGGGAGTGTTGTGTAAGTTCGTATCCTTGGTTTTTGGTGACTTGTTCTTGTATCCAGGCCTTAAGGGCTGATGATTCAGAGACTGCCGCTAAGGGAGCATGTGAGGAGAGCTGTCAAGGGTGGGGCAAATCTACATTTATATTTGTCAGTCCTTTGTAAAGTACTGAATAGCAAGTATTTCAATTTTTGTTTAAATTTTGCCTTAAAGGTGAGCAAACACTAGCAGTTTTCAAGTGTGAAGCAGCTTGAATTGTATCTGTTGATAGGCTGATGATTCAGAGACTGCCGCTAAGGGAGCATGTGAGGAGAGCTGTCAAGGGTGGGGCAAATCTACATTTATATTTGTCAGTCCTTTGTAAAGTACTGAATAGCAAGTATTTCAATTTTTGTTTAAATTTTGCCTTAAAGGTGAGCAAACACTAGCAGTTTTCAAGTGTGAAGCAGCTTGAATTGTATCTGTTTATCGATAGAGTTTTCTTTTTTTTTCTTTTTTTTTTTTTCCCATCTGAATGCTAGAAATCACCTCCCTTGTTTCCCTAAAGGGAACAGGGAAATGGCTTGGAAGTGGGACAGCGATCA